AGATTCTTACTTATTTCTGAACATCAGTGGAAATCAGATTTAATCTTCGAAGCGTTTGGTAGATTTAATAGATCTTGAATGTTGGTTTACTCCATGTCAACGATTAACAATGAATTTCGTAAATATTGCTGTTCATTCGGATTCCTTTAGGGTTATTCTGTTTATATCGTAAATTTCGTACGTTTCATTTTAAGTAGCAGTGTTTACCCAAACGCAGTGTGTTTTCAAAAATAAATATAAATTAATATTTAACTTTTGTATTTATATGCTTTCTCCATAATGTGTGTTCAAAAGAATACTCGTTTTAAAATTTTCGAATGAATGATATAATACATTAAATGGTATCAATACAAAAAAAAAAGAAAAAAATGTACTTGAAAAAAAAAATCATAGGAATAGAGAGTAAAATGAAATGTAAACAAGATATACTGATAAGGTGTATTACAACAACCCATTTCACACCAAAACAAAAGATAGCTACCCATTAGATAAAGAGTTAGCATAGGATCCAACTGCCCTAATGCAATAGTAGTAGTGTTTCACACTTTGTAGCTATGCTGTCTGGTTTCTTTTCCTTCCGGACCATAAGCAACATTCATTTGTTTCATGACACTGCGAACTACAGTGACAACAAACCTTTCATGATATATAAGTAAACATCAAGCTGCTGTAAAAAGATCGTGCAGTTTGTTCTATGTTGCAAGTCCAAAAACTCTGCAATCATGATTATACTAAATCGGATCTGATTGCTAACAAATTATGATTCTTCTCTTTTATATGTTCGTTTGTTTTATCAAAGTAGGCAACGTGGGACGAAGACAACATTAAACAAGACAATAAAACAATATTTGTTTCTCGTTCACCCTTTTCTGTTCCGTTTTTATTTCTTTTTCTGCTTCACTTCTTCCTCTTCTTCCTCCTCCCATTCTTTGCTTTCCATATCACTAATACAATCATATGATGATGGGAGGAATAACACAATTGTGAAAACACTGATAAACATTAACAAATAAACAAATTCAGCACCCAAAAAATGCAAAATCAAACGCTCATTTATTATATATATATATATATATATATATATATATATATATATATATATATATATATATATATATATATATATATATATATATATTTTTTCACATTTTCAACATTAGGAAAAGAGACAGAAACAAAAGTAGAAAGATAAAGAAGGGTAGAGAAGTAGACAGAGATGCAAACAGAAATTCGTGCATAAAACCTATTTCATTTCTAGTCTCCATCGGGGTTCGAACCCGAGTCTATCGCGTAAGAGGCGACCGTGCTAACCACTACACCACGGAAACATTTTTATTGAATTTTACTATATTTGAATTTTAGGTTTTAGGAGAATACGTATTACACTTGAGTATGTAGTGCTACATACATGTGTGTGTGTGTGTGTGTGTGTGTGTTACATTGCACTGAAATACGTCCATTCTTAAAAAAAATAAAATGAAGTGGAAGAGTTTTATGTTTATATAAGATGATTTTCTCCTCTCTCTCTCTCTCATTTTTTCTTTCTTTCTTTTTTCTTTCTTTCTCTCTCTCTCTCTTCCCTCTTTCTTTCTTTCTTTCTTTCGTTTTTTTCTTTCTTCTCTCTCTCTCTTCCTTTCATCTTTCTCTCTCTCTTCTCTTTTTCTTCCTCTCTCTCTCTCTCTTCTCTCTCTCTCTCTCTCTCTCTCCTCTCTCTCTCTCTCTCTCTCTCTCTCTCTCTCTCTCTCTCTCTCCCCTCGCCCTCTATCTACCTACTCATCACATCCAAGCATAAGATGTCGCGAACCGCCTCTGCGCTGGCTCGGGCGCCCACTCCGACGCCCGCGGTGGGCTGGCTGGCTTCCGTCTGAGTTCGCACCTCGAGTGCTTAGTAAATCACAAAAGATTAAAAATTAAAAGGTCTTCACGTTAAAACGAGTTTCATATAAAAGAAAAAGCATGAATAATAGACCGGCCACTCTACACGACGGGAAAGTAAACAGGGAAGCGAGGCTGAGGGCGCGCTGCCGAAGACGCGGCGAAGGGAGGAGTGTGGGACGGACCTGCCGCCACGGACGCTGAACGAAAATGGTTCAGTCTACAAGAATGCCACATGCGCGCAATCTACTTTTGATTTGAAGGAAATTAAAGAAGCGTATATGTGGATATTCATTTGACCAACCGTTTCTTCCCTTCCCTCTCAAAAAGGATAATGAAGCAACAAAGGCTTAGTTAAGATTCATCACTAATTTTCAGTTGAGAAAAATTCGTCGCGATGGATATATATATATATATATATATATATATATATATATATATATATATATATATATATATATATATATATATATATATATATATATATATATATATATATATATATATATATATGTATATATATATATATATATATATATATATATATATATATATATATATATATATATAGTTCATTTTTCTGGCTCTCAATTCTAACATTTAAAATATTTTAAAAGTTATCTTATTTTTATTTGTGATCAACTACAACAAATAAACCGTTCTGTTCTCACAACGAACACGTCTTCCTTAAAAAGTT